CCTCAAGCTTTAAAAATTCAAAGCTGGGATCTACTTTTCTGTTCAAAATTTTCTTCTACCCAATCTTCTCTGACTCAGTTAATGGCAACTCTGTTCTGCCATAGTTCTGGCTTGATTTTTAGTAGTCATCTCTTGATTCTTCTCTTTCTTTTATACCCCATATCTAATCCATCAGCACCTTCTATCCGTCGTTAGAATGTTTCTAAAATCCAGTCATTCATAAAAAATTTCTCCCTTGCTCCTGCTCATAACTATTTGGTTATAAGTCCTATCCAATCTACTTTCTGAGTATGTTTGCAATGGAGCCTTTCCCTTCATTCCCTGCAACATTACCCCTTCCCCATTCTGTTACCAATTGTTCACCTGTCTGGTATGGTTTCCTAATTTTCCTTGTATCCACACATAGCTATAACACCACTTAGAAACAAGTGATTGTTTTAAATATGTTTTTACATGATTAATACTAGCAATTGTTACTACCCTCAGGATAAGTGAAAAATTCCTTAGCAAGACTTGTAACTGGCACCTTCCTGCCTCTTCTGACTCTTAGCTTCTTCCACTCTAAGCCCACTGGATTCCTCCAGGTTACCCTCTCAGAGGCAAGTCCCTTTTTAGTCTTTCCTGTTCACAATACTTCTGAGGTCAGCTTAAAATCTCAATTTCTTTAGAAAGCTTTGCTTCCAGAAAGCATATTTTTTACTTTTGGGTTGCATTTTCAAAATCTGTCTTCCTGACTGTATTTTCATTTTAATCATCTTTATAATTTCAGATCCTAGCACAGTTGCTCAGTACCTACTCAATAAAAACTCCCAAATGAATACATTCAAGGAGGATTATGAATAAAATGATTAGTTTTTCAAATATAAACTGACATTTTCCCAATAACTGGGACTAAAAATGTTAATCATCTGATACTTCAATGTGATACATTGAACAAAAGGTAACTATACGAACACAATACTTCAGTACTAATAGTGAATTTTAAAACATTTTACTGTTGTAGTTAAAATCATCTTTAAATATTATTGTGATTATGTTAGAGTTGACACATCATTCAAAATATTTTGCTACCAGATAAGATACAGTCATTAAAGAAAAAAAAATTCTAGAAGGAAAAAAATGATGACAGAACATGGAAGAATGAATATGTATTCTGCTCATATTTTTCAAGGATGTGGAAAATAAGCTATTCATAAAAGAAATAGGGAACAGATAGCAAATAAAAGACAGGTTAATCCCATCCAAAGAAACATTGAATTGCCTTTGTAATTACAAATCTTTTCATGATAATTAAACTAAATACTTGATATTAATCAAAGTTTTTCTATTCAAATCTGTAATCAAATTTCTTAACATTTTAAAATTAAAATCACATATGTCAAGAAAATTATAGTAACTTTTCTTCTGTGTTCAAAGAAGGGTTATTGGAGAAAGATATTAAACTAAAGGTAAATCATAGAGGGGGGTAAATCTACAGAAGATAGAGTCAGAATAGGAAGGATTTCAGATGGGGAAACATCATGAACCAAAGCTTTATAGTACCATCCTTATAGAACCTCTAGAAACAAGCTGGAGTTGATTTGGAAACAACAACTTGAAGTTAGACTGTGAAAAATCTTAAATGCAAGATGAGATGTTTATATTTTTTATAGAAAATAGTGAGTTTTAGCTGAAGATTTATATTATAAAAAGTGATATTTTGGTAAAATTGATTAGTGATGCTGTCCACAGTATTTAGATGGAAAAGTTGTGAGAAGAGGTATCAGAAAAGCAGTAAATTGCAATTGTTTAAGGAAAGAAGTTAGTTATAAAAGTCAAAACTAGAGAAATAAGAAAACAAAAAAGAGCACTTGAAGTTATCAGATCAAAGGCACAATTTCATGTGTATGCACACACACACCTCGTAAGAGATCAAAGAGAAAAGTGTCAAGACATTCTTCCTGTGCTTCTTGCTTGGACAAATAGGAGAAAAATAATGACATTTATATAAACATATGAGTGTGATGTTTTGTCACCAACATTGGACTGAATTCCCAAGACACATCTTCATAAGACCACTGATTATCTCCTGGGAAGAGTATATCTGCTCATCACTTGGATTTCAGGGATGGACACTGGCAGTTCCTTGGTAGGAAAACAGACAAATTAGAAAAATGAAAGGGGTAAGTGAGAAGTACAAGTTGAATATATTCCAGTAATATTAATTAGCATTATGTTTAAATGGAATAGTTAACTTTAAAATGTAAACATTATTTTGAACAAATATACAATCATTTCTTCCCTTGATTTCTACAATATATATATATATATATATATGTATGTGTATATATATATATCTTGTATCTTTATATTATGTGAAGCATGAAAGGAAGATGCACAAAATGTAAATATCATATAAGTAACACAAAGCCCTTTGAGAGCTCAGAAGATTAAAAAACAAAACTCCACAAGAAAATTCCACATGGAAGATGTTTAGATTTAGCCTTAATGACAAAAGACTTGTGAAAAATGGGTGGAAAGGAATAACTTTCAGTAAGAGTAGAATGGTATAAAAAAGTATTCAGAAGTGAGAAAATACATGGAATAAGAAGGGTGTTATTTAGTTTGGTAGGAATACAAAGTATCTGTAGTAGAAAAGAAATATTTAAGTTAAGATCACATTGTAAAGACCAGGAACACCAGTATCTATTTTTTACATAGAAAATGGGGAATTACAACAATTGTTCAGTTCTGATAATAATAATAATTTATGATAATAATAATCCTTCACTGTGTAGCAAGCTTATGTTGGCCCTACTGCCAATTAAGCCTCCCCTGGTTGGTTCCAAAGTTGCTATATTTATCATTAGAGGGGATATAAATTTAAATAAATCAAAAATAAAGCTGCTAAAGAACTAATAACGTATGTAAATAAAGAAACAGGCAACACTTTTTCTCATAGCTCCATAACACAATATAGGTTTCTGAAACAGGCTCCACAGCAGATGTTTAAAAATTACTACAATGTCTTGATAATAGTCAATATTTATGGATTCCCACTCCGAAGGAGACACAATAATGGATTCATCCTGTAAGTTTTCATGCTATTTCTCTGTTTCCCTATTGCCTGTAGTAGCAAGACAAGAATTCCTTCTTACAGCACACAAACACTACAAGACCTGGCTTTCATATCTTTCCAGTGTCAACCAGGACTTCCCTGCTCACACTTTACACTCCAGTCATCTAGGCATAGAGTTCCTCAGAACTAAACAATTTTTTTTCTGTACCAGGAATCTGCATTGCATGTTTATTCTGCCAGAAATATTTTTCTCCTAGATTCATAGAAGACTGTCTGGTTCTTATTCATCAACTTTAAATCCAAAGCAATAATATTTATTTTATTATTGGTTGTTGTTTTTTTCCATATGAAGAGTATTTGTCACATAACAGGCATTTATAAATATTTGTGGAAGCAATAAATGAGTGGACTATGTCACTTTAGATTTTATATCATCTGATTCAAAAAATATCAATAGAAAGCAGAAGCTCAGAAATGATCAAGCCATTCACTCCATGTCACTGAGTTCACAAATGTTAGAGGACAGATTTTAAAATGATCTCAGAGTCTATTTCTTATCACTATCTTACTGTACGAACAAGGGGAACTTGATTCCAAGTTCGGAGGTCTTTAAGGAAGTTGCAAAATTTTGTCTGGAAATCCAGTAAAGGATCTAAGAAGGTAATCAAAGGAATAAAAGTGATTCTGGGATCAGTGAGTATCTGAAATCCATAAAGATAGAAAATACCTGTGATCAAATAGTGGAATATTGATGATTCATTTCCAATTAAATTTTTCTTTCTTCTTATTCTTCAAATAACAGTATTAAAGTATTTTGACATTATTATCTAATCCTTAAAAACACTTTAATATAAGTGCTCTTGCTATTCTCTTTTGCACCATGGACAGAGAACATGAAAGGAAATTATAAAACTTGCTCTACTCATACAAATAGCAAGTTAGTAGCTGCAGAAGAGTTTGTTTACAGTTCTGTCTGGCTATTGTTCAACTTTATTTCAATGCAGCGTTAATGGTCATTTATAGTCCCTTTTTTTACCAGATTCAAAAATTGTAGTATTTTCTAAATCCACCCCCCCCCAATTTCCCCAAGAAATGCTTTATTCTACTCAACAAATACTTACTGATTTCCTGTTACATGGTAGGTACTCTGCTAAGTGAGAGAAAGCAGAGTAATAAATAAGACACGGCACTTGCCTTTGGGAAGCTATTAATTTTTTAATTTCTTAATTTTTTCATTTCAACTCTTTTTCATATTTTGTGGATATTTTCAATTTATCTTGGACAAGAAATTTCCTACTTCTCAGAATATATTCTGAAATATGTGTAGAGTTAGGCAAGCACCTTGACAAGAAAATTTGGAGCATTTTACATATTTGCAGGTGAATGTTAGGTTCCAATATAAGAGAGCTCTACTAGCCCTCATTGCAGAGAGTAAGGGAAGGGGGGATGTTATTTGATCCACTTTGGCAAAGAACAACAGCAAAAAATTTAAAATAGAAAGCAAAGCAATGTTGTGGGTAAGAAAAAAGGAGCTATATTGAATAGAAATAGGAAAGTCAACCTTGTAAATGATAGTTATAGCCTGCCTACAGAAAGAACAATTTAAGTGGTCAGGTAAAAGTAGTAGGGGAAAAAGAAAAGTTAAATCGGAAAAGAAATTTAAAATTATAAAATATTTCATTTGTTTTATTTACTTTGATTTTTTTTTAATATCAAAGTAAGGCTCTACCTCTATTCCTGGTCAATGCCACCCTTCTCAAGCTAGGAAAGCAATCAAACCAAGGCTGTGTTCTGCATCCCAGATGAATGTGTGAACTTTCTCCTTCTTTGCATCAGATTTGCTTTGTGTTTGGGGAAAAAGAATCAAATAACATATGCATCTACCATCTGAATAAATGGTGCACTATTTGACTGAACTAATCTAAGGATGTTAATTTTCCAGATTAACATTGACTTTAGTACAAGAGATGTCATCTCCAGGAACATTGAAGAGCCGACGGTCAGGTGCTTCGATGAGGCTCAAAAACTAGTCTACAGCCTCATGGCCAAGGACTCCTTCCCTAGATTCCTAAAGTCAGAGATTTACAGGAAACTGGTAAATAGCCAACAGGTTGGAACTCATAAAAAATGGCTCCCTTTCTTGTGAAGAAGGTAAAAGATAAACTAATCACTGTACTTTAGTGCTAAGATGTTTTAAATATACAAATACAATAGAAAAAGTTTTTAAGATTTAGAAAACATTTTTACTCCATCAGATTTTTTCATGTGTCAACCTGAATTTCTAAGTCATTTATTTGTTTGGAATTTATTCGTTTTATCAGGTACTTTAAAATTCCCCTACTGGGAGAATGCAGAAGGAGTTTATAGCAATAAATACACTTTTAGACCACAAATGGATATTCTTATTACACCATAAATCCAAGGAACTATATACCTTCATGTTGCAGAGTGGGAGACTGTTTATAGTATAATATGTATATTTTTAAATGTCATTTGTATCTTCAAAAGTCTCACTCCTTTAAAAAGAGAAATCAGAACCAAAACATAACCTTCCATTTAATATAGTAAATGTACTCTTTCAATTATTTCTTTGTAACTATTTCTAAATATATGATGGTTGTCTAAACTGCTGTGGATTTCAATTAACTAAAAAGAAAAATTATAAGAATTTATGCACACTTATATGTATGTCTGATAGTACCAGAGAGCAAAATTTTTCAGAATACTTTGCTTGGTTCAATTCAATGGTATCACATAAGCTTATATATGGAAAGGGCCTTGAAGGTGAGGAATACTTATTTTCTTATACTAATAGGGAAGAAGTAGAACAAGAACATGGATAATTCCCTATATGATGAACAGCATAGCAGTAATTATCTCATAAAATAAAAAAGGAACATTATCTACTTAGTTATGGAGTTAAATATCTATTCGCTCAATCAGTTCTGGAAATTGTTCACAAAACTCAAATAAATTTTTAAATTTTAGTTTGAGATTTTTCTAAAATTGCTTCTTTATATAAATATTCTGTGATTAGCATGAATATCTTGTCAATATAAGAAGCTATAAAGATTCAAAACATATTCCAGTGTTTTCATTTTATTTGCCCAGACTTATTTATCTTTTCTATTTTGAGATTGAACACTTAAATACTGAGGGAAAATATCACGACTTATTTTATGCTTCCACAAACTATTCATTTGATAGACAAAATTTTTGTTTCCTCTTCATCATGAAAGATAAACATTTAAGCACATGCAAATGATATATTCTCCCGTAGATATGCAAATTCTTTAAAGGTACAGTAAAAATTGGTCCTGAACTATTTAATGTCTAATTTTGTGCACTTAGTGGAAAATAGCTATAAACTTCTCAACATGTATTATGGAGCTTCCCATCTTAATTTAGTTTGTATTTAAATAGGAAATTTTTAATTGTTCTAATAATTGAAATGTATTTGTGAAGATAAAAGTAGTCCTAGAAAAAAGTGACATTCCCCCTTTTAGACCAAAAAATTCTGAAAGTCCACTGATTACTTCAGATCACATATATGGTTAAATGCCAGAAGTGGTGAAAAAAAAAGCAGTGAATTTCCCTAACTGCCACACCTGCTTTTTGTTCCAACAGAAGCAATATAACTTTCTTTTGATTTTAAAACTGTGCTAAACTGTGGGAATTTAAATTTCTAATAATCTTCAAATATTCAAGTGTATCCCTTTGACTGAATATTTTAACCATCTCTTCATAGTCAGTTTGTATCTTCCTTCTTGTTATTATAAAACAAGACTTTAATGATTGCCTCTCAAGTTTTCTCTAATGATATGAAAGAAGTTAAATCATATTTTCACCACCTAGAAATAAATAGCTGCCTGAGAGTGCTGAAGAATATAGCAGGTGTCCCAATGTTTGTTAAAAGTTGGATATGATGTAACCTCTAATAGAACTCCAATCAAAGGGCTTCAATAATAATAACTTCATCCTACCTCCTTAACTCGCATTGTATGTGATGAACATATGTTGTCCAATTTAATAAATTAGAAAAAAACAATTATTATTATGGAATACATAGCAGTGAAGGTTTTTAGTAAAATATCAGATAGCCTTTGTCACATGTGATTCTTTTATACATTTTTCACTCTTCATGTTATTCTATTCCATCAATTATCATCAAAGAACTATTTTATGGATGAAGTTTTAAATATAAAAGATTAACCTGTAACAAACCAATAACAATATTAACATGTCTGACAATGTATTTTGATATTCAATGATTCTATAATATCATTTTCTAAAAATGCATCCATTAAAGTTTTACTGTACATTGTTTAGTTTTTTATGTAAATGGTTCATAAAAAATAAATAATACAGAGTAAAACATTAATGAAATTACAAGATCTTTAAGTAGGACTGACCTTCAAATTACAAGAGATTTTAGAAAGCACAGTATTTTCCAGTTTCTGACAGTTATTAAAGAATATGTGGTTTGACTGCTTCTTCCAGGACTGCAGATTGAGCTCAGAGGCACTCTACCACTGAGCCATGGCTCCAGTCCTTTTTTACTCTATTTTGAGATAGAGTCTTATTAAGTTTCCCAGGCTGGTCTGGAACTTACAATTCTCCTGCCTTAGCCTTTCTAAATGACTAGGATCACAGGTGTGTGCCACATTCCCAGCTTTTCCAGAAAGTTTTAATACTATGGGGTTTTTTTGCCTTCTACTAGGTTAGACATAAATGAGTTAAAAGATGTATTTCTAAAAGAATCTTAGCTTCCTTATTAATTTATTGTGGTGCTATAATCCATGAATTTATCTGAAATCCTTTTGAATATATATAATATTTAAATTTCAGCCATAATGATTATTTTAAGCTTGTATAAATATAATTTCTTGTATTTGCCTAGAAAAAACTATTTCAGCTTCAAGGCATAATCAACAGGTTTTCTTTTCCCTAATATGAATTGTAAAACTAAGACCTTTAGGGCATTATAAATGTGATCTTCCCAAAACTGTTTGTGTTCTACTCACTTTCATTGTTTTACTTCTCGCTACAAAATTTTTAAATCTGTGTTGCGTAACAACTCTATGCCCATAGTATTCTTGATGAGAGTACATGTTGATTCAATAAACCAGAGACAGAATGCTTACTATTTCCTTTCTAATATCCTTTGCAATGAAGCCTGGTATTATCTTGTCCTTTTGCGCCGTAGCAGCATGCAGGGACATAAGGTTGGGAAGCACTCTAGATTTCTTTCCTGGAATTTCAAGAACAGATCAAGCCCATTATCCTGGACTTGAAATTTACATTGAATTTTCCTTCCTTTTATCCATATGAAAACGGATCAGTCAATATTCCCAATCATATAGGCTATGAGCTAACATAAGTAATCAATTTGAATCATTATTTTAAAACTAAAGAAATACATTCTATAAAAAAGAAAAAGAAAACGCCCTTTAAATACATAAAGTTTGGCCTCAGTATCACTAGTCTCCTCACATTTACTTCCAATGCAAAATTCAACCTCTAGCATTTATCCACACAATTCCTATGTAATATTTTCCCCTGATTATGTGTAATATTGGCCTGATTTACTTCCTAACCACGCAGCCATATAATTTATTTCATGGTGATGTCAATTGATTTACAATGAACTCTTTTAGCAATTATGTAAAAAAGGTGGGATGCTGTCACAGCAGTAATCAATTACTATCAGTATATGAAGCTACAACACTAATTGTTTTGTCAGATTTGCCATTGCATTTTAACAGGGGACCAACAGAAATGAATATTAAGTAATATCTATTTACATTAGTCATATCATTTGGGAGAAACTTTAGTGTGTTATGTATCACTATTATTTACAGAATATGTTAAAATACATAACATATGTATAATTAATTGTAATAATAAATGAACAAATATGATGTGTTTCCAAGTACATATACGGTAACAGGTGAGAAAATAACATTTTTTAAAGAGTTTATTTTTTATGAAAAATATTACTTTTCTTCTTTTGTTTAAGATGGAAAAACAGTATTAAATGTCTGGGGGAAAAAATGGCCAGAGAAATTTAAACGTGTTATTGTTTAGCCATTGAGCATTTATGCTTAGTATGTCTAGGTTAAAGGGAGTTATACATATTTCTGAGAGCCAAAGATTGTCTAGTTCAATTCATATTTTTTATTGGCTGATGGTTGTTTAATTAACTTCCTGAATATCTCACATAAAATATTTATTTCTATTTTTACAAATAATTTTTAAGCAATTAATTTCTTATAAATACAGTATAGGTTCCATGTTCTAAGACTTTTGCTTTGTTTGTGCATTTAGGAAAATAATTTATAATATTTGGTTCATTAATATTTTGAATGATCCTGACTTAGATATAAAACCTGATAAATAAAAACTTTAAAAATGATAAATGACTTAAAAATGATAAAAACTGAAATGTTTCATAATTTAGGTATGTCTAATATTCTCATATTTATTTCTTTTAGATTTGGCTTAAACAGTTTTATTTTTATTATTCCAGTTTAGGCCTTTCAAAAGTAAACATTTTTGTGTGTAATGCCTTGGAATTACTGTTTTTATTCCACTTTCAGAGTATGTTATATTTACTCTAAAGATATAATAATAAATTCAAAACTTTAAGGTTGATTTTTCTTATGCTTATATGAAAAAGACAGAATGTCTATTATTTAGCAGGAAAAATATATTAAAATTAATCACTCAAAATATTATTCATTTTTGACTATGAATCTTTTATAGGCATATCCAAGAGTACACTATGAGATATTTAAATTTAATTCATAACTGAGCTACAAAAATTTGCCTTTAAAATTTAAATCAAAAATTTAAAAATTTATAGATTTTTTTGCAGATTTTTCTTTCTGCTAAAAGCAAATCATAAATCTATTTTCTTAAAAAGAGTAAAGTCTGTCAGTAGAAGTTTAAATATCAATCCCTACATTTTAAACTAGATAAAATGTATTGTCTGCAATGCGGTTTTTATATTAACTAATAGAAGAACCTGAAGAGTACCTAATATCATTAAATAACAGTTTGAAATAAACTCAGAACTTTGTTAAGAAGCCTAAAGTAACATGTATATATAAACATTTCCACTTACTGAACTCTGGTTCTGATTAT